ACGACACATAAAGTACAAGAGAAGATTCCCCTGTGTTCAAGTGCATTTAGCGGTGATTGCACGTCTGTTTGTTTCTCAACCATTCTTTGAGTTGACCTTTGAAGCTATTGAGAGAGGGACAATCCCGTATCTCAGTTGGGAGGCTATTCCACAATGAGCTGCCTTTAACGGAGAGGACACTTTGTCCAAAAGTGATCCATCTACGGTGGACCTCACAGCCTCCTCTGGTTTCTGAACTAGTGCAGCATCCAGTGCGTGTTCTGTGGATGAATTCTCCTAAGGGAGGGGGGGCCAGTCCATGTAAACATTTATAAAAAAAACACATACTTTTAAAATACTTAAAATTGTCAAAACTCAAGAAATTCAGTTTTTCAAGGATGGTACAGTGGTGGTATGAATGTGGCTTTCTGTCAAACACCTTGATAGCTCTTTTGTACAGCTGCTCTATTGGTTTCAGGTTTGTGGCTCAAGCAAACGACCAGTTTGTCAAACAGTATTCAATGTGGTACAGAATCATACAGTGGAGGTATGACTTTGCAGCACTGACAGTTAAGAAGGGTCTAATTTGTTTAAAATGTTGCAAGTTCAATTTAACGGTATTTGATACTTTCTTGATATGTTTCTTAAAAGTTAAGTTCGAGTCCAGTATGACTCCAAGATACTTGAAGTGGGAGACTAGTTCTATTTCTGCTCCGTTTAAAAACACATTGGATCCTTCGATTTTGACTGGTCGTTTACTGAACATCATGCATATTGTTTTTTTTGCATTTAACTGTAAGCAAATGTTGTTCAGCCAGTGTAGAACCTTGTCCAGAGCATTTGAGATACAGGATGAGATCATTTCAGTGTTTTTCCCATGTACAAAGATGAAGACGAGGGATGAAAGAAGGATGAAGAGGGCAGTAAGACATCACCTGATATTATCATGTCTTTACTTATTCATTTACCTTTGACCAGGACAAGTCCAAAAGATCCGCCGTGTGACCTTTATACTTGCAGAAGGGAATTTGACGGAAAGGGGCGTTTCTATCTTCTGTGTCTGGGTCCTCTGGAGCACAACTTGCCTAAGACAACAACAAACAACAACAAAACTGTAAAAAATACACCTTGCACTATTTCTAAAAAGGGAAAGAATTTCCATTTCTTAAAATAGAACTGCACAGCTTTTTGTAATTTATCCTAAACTTATTGTATTTTCTTTTTTGCATTTATACATCTTGTAAAAAAAAGTATAATAGTTGTGACACATTTTTCTTTACTTATTTCATGTTTTTATATTCTTTCATTTATGTTACTGTGTTTATTTATTCATTAACACCGAAGAGCCTTGTTTGTGAAACCTTTGGCAATAAATACAATTCTGAATTTGATCACTGATTTTTATATTTTCTTCTAACACTAAATAACCGTAAGTAAAAGGTATTATTAATTTCACTCACCAGGTGGTCGTCAGATTTAGAGGAGCATAAACTTTCCTGAGAAGGAGACGGTGAAACTCGACCTGCAGGAACCAATCAGAAAGCATCTTACTGCAGCTAAAGCTGGCCATCTAAACGTATCAATCATCATACCACAACAAAGAAAAACCTTACCTTCAGTGTTGTACTTCATTCTCATATTATTGAAGTAGTCAAAAGCAGTCTTCAAGACCCAGATGCGAACCACATTGTCCTGGCCGGCTGTGGCCAGCAGCCTCCCGCAGTGAGAGAACTTCATCGTCCACACGGCCCCCTGAGGGGAAGACACAGAGGCTGTAATACTAGCCTGAAAGGTCCCCTATATACTCCTTTTCATCAATATATTATAGGTCTCAGTTGTATACAAATCATGTCTCTGAAGTGTTTGGCTCCAAACACCAAACAGATCATTGCAGCATCCCATAATCCCCTCTGTTTCAGCCCCGTTTCAAAAGTGCTGATTCTCTGTCTGTTACTTTAGATGAAAATAAGGAGCCACTCCCCACGCCCCTCTGAGAGATATGTGGTTAAAAAGAACACAATAGCCGCTTTCACACAAAGTACTTTGCCGTACTTAGTGCTGGCACTTAGTGCCCCGGCACTTAGTATCCCAGGGCACTAAGTACCAATCGCGTTCACAATGGAGTACTTTTCCCTGAGGGAAGATTACGCAAATGAGCCGCTGACGTCACTTGTTCTTCTTCTTCTGCTTTGCGTTTACTGACAGGCCGCAAACAACTTCACGGCGTATACTGCCACCCGAAGTCCCCGGCCGGAAGTCCCCGGAGTTGGGGACTGGCTTCAGTAGAAGCTGCTGGGACTCCCAGCAGCTTCTACTGAAGCCTTCCGAGTAAATCACCAGAACGC